GCATCAATCAGTCTAACAAAAACATTTTTGAAATGATTTTTCGGTCGATTCGTGCTCGAATGGATTTTTTATGTATCAGTTTATCGATTTTCTATGACTTTTTTCATAGAAACATGCAAAAATGTATTGAAAAATGCCGTTTCTCAGCTAAATATGGTAAATTTATATGGAAAAAATGAAAAAAAACTCATGATAAACAATGTTCATTGCCCGGAATCGCGGAGTGTCGTACCGGTGAATATTCATGGTATCGCGAACACATAATAGATAACAGAGGCAGTGCGCCCAGGGGGAGAGGGGTACGGTATCCAATTTTTCAAGGAAATGTTTTAATTTTATGACGTAAAAACAAAAAACCAGTTTCACCGAATGACCTGTTTTTCCTCTCGTGATTCGTTTCAAAAGTTAACTGCTGATCTATTTTTCAAGATTGATCTGGCAGAGAGGGCAAAGATCCTGAGAAGGAAGTTGCTGTTTCAAGTACACTGTATTTATAGGAAATTTCAACTCTTTTAGAAGGGCACCCATTTCTTAGGACCTTTCACTCGAGTTAGATTATTAGAACACCTTCTCCCGAAAGTAATCCTGCTTTGATTTTGTGTCAAATTTTTCGAGAACAGGTGAAATTCCTAGCCTCTAAAGTTCGAAAAATTAATAATTACACCCTCTCGGAAAGTCTCTTTTTTCCTTCTCTCTTTCCACAGATGTTTTAGTTTATAAACTTTAGGGCGGGAAAGTTTATAAAACACAAAAGTCTAGAGGCATCAAGGGAATTCCAAACAATCTCCTGCAACGGGAATCAAAGAAGGCAATTCATTTATCGAGAATTGAGTCACTTTTATATACAAATGGGGGTTCTCCTGGGATGCAAATGAGCATGGGGTTGAGGTGAAAAAATGAATTAGTTTAGCATGATTATTGATCAGGAAGGGAGGTTCAGGAAGCGGTGTTCAAAGCACAGAGTACGGTTTTTTTGGAAATGGAGTTTGGTGTAGAGGAGAGAGGTGCCCTTGTAATGAAGGTTTTACAGAGAAAATTTATGGAGAATAACAATTAAGAGATAATACATAAAAAATAAAGTAAAAAAAAATTCAAGAAAAACTCTAATAGAAGAGCACCCAAATTTCTGATGACAGAGAAGAGTGAGAAAAAATTAGAGCATTTTCGGGAGGAAATTTAGCGAAAAACATGGAAAGTTGTGTTCTCAGAAAACCTATTACTTCAGAACTTTCTGATTTTGAGAAAAGTTTTCAAAAATTGAAATTCAAAAGAAATGTAATAAAAAAAACTAGAGGTATAAAAAATTACAAAAGCCCTTCTTTAATGATCAAGTTTAGTGTAAAAAATTGAAAAAATGTGGATGAAAAACATTTTTTGATGGGATTTTGTTTAGATAACGCATTTTTTAAGAGAGAATCAATCACAGAAAATCAAAAAATGTTCTACTGCACTAAAATTTTGAAAGGAATCTCCATCGTCCTTGGATGCTCATTTTGAGCCAAAAGGTCCAAAAAATGACCGAAAGCCCTCCGAGAAGAAAACCATACATTTCTAACTTCTTTTGCATTTCTAAACCGCTTTTCTTCTCTTCCTAAAAATGCTCACAAAAATATTTGGACCTAGAAACATCATCACCAAAGAGTTCTTCTTCTTTCTCTTTAAATAGCCTCCCCTCGGCTCGTCCGTCCGTTTGTCCCCCACCCTCTTATATACAAAAGTTTTGTGTATTTGCTCAACTTTTGTGGTGTGACACACACACAAGGGGCTCCCTCTACAGTTCTTTTTTCTCTTCTTTCACTTATAACCCCAATGGACATGTCGCTTTGTAAAGGTATAAGGAAGAGAAGTTTGTTTAAACATTACCCGAAAACCACCCGTTTTATCGAAAAGTCAGAGAGAAAAAGTGTTCGTCTGTTCTTTTACTGATAATACGGAAAACGAAGAAAAAGGTTAGGATTTGAAGTCAGAAAAAAGGGAAAAAAGAAAAAAAAAAGATATTTGAAAAATGCGGAAGAAGGGGATAGTAAGAAAAATGATAGGATAGATAAGATAAGTACTTTTTTGATAGTAATTGAGAGATAACGAACGAAAAAGTACGAAAGTTCAGCGAAAAGAGTCTAGGAGCTAGGGGAGCATTTGGTGGCAGGATTTCATAAGAATCGAAGAATTTTCAATTTTTTCTGATTTTTCATTTTCATTTTTTCCGACTTCCAGAAATTTCCAGATTTTGAGTTTTTTGGAGCCAACGCGACGCTTATTACAGCCCTACTCCAAATGATACCCAAGTTCGACACCCACTTATAGGCAACTGTTCTTGTCTTCAATTTGAAAATTGAAAAAAAAAATCCACCTCTAATATAAGGGCACTGTCAAAAGTTTAGCTTAGCAATTACGAATTTTGCTGAGACTTGAACATGCTTGCTAATTGAACGAAATACTTGAGCATTTGAGTTTTTCCCTCCAATAGAACGGCATAGAGCTACTGCGAGCAAAAAAGTTATCTGAGAATCATGCCCTTCTATTTGGGGTTTTCAGAAAACCCCTCCAATTTTCGAAAAAGTATGGCCTAGTTTTCTCAATTCTTTTTTTTCTAGGCCCTACCACGCACTTTTCCTTTCTTTTTTAAGCAACAAGAACCCCTAAAACCTCAAAACTTTTTCCAGCTATACAGACTATAAAATCCCACGTCATTCTCTCTCCCTAGAACTATCATCATCATCATCCAATTTTATTGTTTTCCCCCACGGGGTTTTCCACTTGCAAACAGTCCATTTCACTTAGTATTTAGTGAGAGAGAGAGAGAAGTTTGGAACTGAATTTCGCTTGTATTTATAGTTACACACTCACTCAGGTTGATAGGAAAGACTACATAGGGAGATGAAGAGACGCAGAAGGAAAGGAAAGTAGGTGCTGATGTTTCAACTTGAGAGATACGGGAAAGAAAGCAAAAGGACTAGAAACTACACCCCGACTGGACGGTATTTAAACCACAGAGCTCTCCTTCTTCTTCAGTTTCTCATTGGTTATATGGGAATCAAAGGAATTAGAAATATGAGATGAAAGGAGACCGCGCATAAAAAACTATGAGAAACGGTTTGGAAGAAAGAAAAAGAGAGAATGAGAGTGTGGAGGAGGGAACCTTTAAAGATGTGTGTACCCAGAAGGACGGATAATCTGATGGGTGAAAAGATGGATGGGTGTAGAAGAGGGGGGAGAAGGGGCGAAATGTATTTATTCAAGGTCGTCACCATTTGTTTCTACGGAGAACAGACGGAAAGGGACAGATGTACTTAATAAGGGGAAGGAAGAGGATGAATGAGAAATGAACAAGTTAGATTTGAGGCTTTGATTATTTTAATTGGTAAACGGAGGACTGTCACTAACACAATAATATATCACAGATTTGTATCATGATGAACAGCTAGTGTGTGATAATTGAACGCGTTGAAACAAATAGAGCGTTAGAATATGCGCTCAACCGTAAAAGGGGGAGACGCAGGAACTCCATTCCAATAGAGCACATTTTCCAAGTTTCCCAAAAATTTTTTTTTTCTCGAAATTTCAAAACAGTCGAAAAACCCTTGAAGCACTGATGGGAGCCTCTTAGCTTCTTTGACACCTTCAGCTGAGGGTGGCGTTGTATTAGAGGTAATCAAAAAACATATCCGGACAGTGCCCTTATAATAGAGGCATTCCAAAATTTTTTTGTTTGTCGGTATTTCGAAAATCTTCGAGCATTTTCGAAATTTCGAAACTCCTAATTTACGAAATCTTTGTCTCAAGTACCAAGTACCACAACTTTGACAGCAGGTACCATAGGATGCACTTTAGGATTACTGTACCTTACATAAACCCCGCCCCTTTCCTGACCACCACTCTATGATGATGTAATACACACAATTTGCACTTGCAAAACAGCTTAGGGTCACCTCCTTGAGTTCCCCATAAAATTCAAAAATAACCTCTAAACACACGTCATGATCTCCGATTTTGGAACGTTGAAAACGAGGAGAGGGGAGGGGACGACGGTAAACAGGCCCTGTCGGCCGTATATTTCTCTTCCTGTCTACTCTTTGTGACTCATGACACTCTGGGGCAAAAGTCACAATCCTCAGTCAGTCAGTCTAATTTCGAAATATGCAAGGTTTGCCGGTAAGATTAGTTCAGAAAAGGACGGAAAAGGGTTGGGTAGGAGGTCAAGTGTAGAGTCGGAAATTCTTCGAAACAGCTGTGTGTGGGCGCCAGGTGTTTCGAAAAAAGAGAGAGGATCACACTCCTTTTGCTTGCATCATTATCTTTTTCTTTTGAGAAGAACAAAAAAACTTGGGATCAGGAGGTACGGAATGGGGTGAGTGAGTGAGTGAGTGAGTTCAAACGACCATGGGAGGTTTGAAAATATTCGTGACTTTTAGTTTTCGTTAAGTAAAAAAAAAGAAAAAAGTTTTGCCACCAGCTGGAATCGAACCTTGGTATGCAGATCCAAAAACAACTGCGTTAGCCGCTAGGCCACGGTGCCGACCATCATCTGTTGCAGTTAGGCTACAGAGATTAGGCGGCTTATCAAGGCCACTGGCTAGCGCAACTTCGGTCACAGTATCAAGTGATAAGGCAGAGAGATGGACTTTAGAAAAAATTAGTTTTGTAAAGAAAAGATAGGAAACGGTCGAGAGATTCTTGACAGTTTTGGTTAGGTTTTGTTTGAAATAGGGAGAAAAACAAAGGAATTTTTTTTACAAAAATGATGGATGGTTCTGTAGCTAGGAAGAATAAAGATACCGTAATCTAGGGTGCTGGATTTTTTGAGAGAGCTCAATCGAGCCGGAAGTTTTGGGCTAGGCCTCATGAAGTTAGGATCAGTCCGAATGGGTTACTGTAGCTATCTGAAACTACAGTACCCTTTGGAGCTTAAAATGGGGATACTTGCCCCGGGTTTGAGAAGAACTGGGCTGTCAGGATCGAGTTAGAACTTCTGGGCTACTGTAGCTAAAATGGCTACAGTAACCCTGCCCCTACAGTAATCCCCATTACTAGACTACATTCCGAAAATTGCGCAGTCAACGAACAAAAATCAGCTGTCCTCCTCCCTCTCCTCCTCCACGCTCCAATAATCCTAATTCAAGGTCCTATCCTCTCCCCTCCGAAAGTTCAATCTTTGGAGTGCACGTGACTGACAGTCGGATGAGATACAAAGACTACACAGTCCATCATCCATCCATCGACAAAAATTCTAAATGGTCTAGAATCATTCTCTCGCTCTCTCTCTTCGGGCACCCGTAGCCGATCTTCCCATTCGAAATGAGTTGACTTATATACCCGTCCGAAGGGTCGTGGTGACATCGAAAACCGGTTTGAGAAGTGAGAGAGAGAGAGAGAGAGAGAGAGAGAGAGAGAGAGAGAGAGAAGGGAAGTCTCATCATTTCTCTGTCACTCCCGTGTGTCTTCTCTCTCCTCCTATATATTTTTGTCTTCTCATCCACCACCACGCGAGAACTTCAATACGCGCAGTCAGTCAGCATCACACTCTTCTTCAATCGCTGCTGGACGACCACCCCGTGGGCACCCCCGGACATCTCCAAGGTTCACGTACTCTATCCATCAGATACGTTCCAATCGAGTGAGAGAGTATCGAATCATTGAAGAGACGACAGAGAAAGAGATAGGAATTAGAATTTTAACGGCGGAAAGTACATTATCGGAGAGAGAGAGTGAATTCGTGGTGTTGCAACACCCGATTTGTTCGGAAACCCCCTTTGCAACATTAATGATTCCAGAAGGTCACAATCACATGGTCTTAATTGTTTTTGGAATAAAAAAAAACATATAAATCCAAAATGATAAGAAATGAGATCAGATGGGGGACGACCGGGCATGAAAAATGTGACTTGTGATAATTAGTAGAACTACAAGTTACTAATCGAATTATGCGATTTTTTTCGTTGTGAACGGGTGCAGTTTTATAAGAGGAATAGGAAGATGAGCAGATTTGGGCTTCAAGAATACGGTAGCTAACTGGTAAAAATCGAAAATCATTCTTGGTTTTTATACTATCCTATCTAGAGGTATCCAGTTCCTTTATGGATTTCTAACGGGCGTCATTCACTCGAATCGCGCAATTTGTCAGAATTTAGAGCCAAAACCGCACTATCTAGCTCATAATTCACGGCCCGGCGTTTTCTACCGGGGCCGAGAAAAAAGCGTCGAGAAATGCGAGCGCGCTCTGTCGCAATATTGAAAAATTTGCATCCTACTGTATCTATTATTTTTTTTCGGCTGATTTCTGCAGCTTGTAGGCTGAGATAAGTGTTCAAATTGTGATCAAAATTTAAATAATAATTAATTGAAAACTTATAATGATCATTATTGCTGAAAAAATATGAATTAAAGATGGGCTTGCAGAACTCAACTAGAAATCTTCAAAAAATCATATCTCCAAAACGAGATCATGAAGGTAGATATTTGATCACGGGATCATGTTAAGCATGTTTAGAAGTATATATAGGCTAATTTATAGCGTTCTAACTCAGAAACTTTTCGAGAAATCCCATTTTTAACGATTTTTTAGTGTATGTTTGACCTTTAAAAATTTTTAACTCGAAAACGAGCACATAGAGGTCCGATTTCCTCAATGGATTCGGAATCAGCATGTTTGAATGTATGTCTATGCCAATTTTCAGAGCCATAACTCAGAAAGATTTTAAGATCGACGATATTTCGGTTTTTCATTGTTAATCAGCCGATATCCGGTAACCAATTATGTTATTTTGGGCAAAAGTGACTTTTTTATAAATTAGAAGTCCGTTTTCAATGTTTTTGAAGTTAAAATTTCAAGAAAACGACTTCTTAACAGTTTTTCGAGCAAGTGGCCTAGTTTTCCACACTGCGCGACTTGTTCCCGGCCCCGGTAGAAAACGCCGGGCCGTGAATTATCCATCTCTACCGCCGAAAGCCTTTGGAACCCTGCACTCTCCTGATTATCCTCCACCCCCTTATTCGTTTTCGCAACCGTGGCTCAGTGGCTAACGCGCTTGTTTCCAAAATTTCTGTCGCGAGTTCAATTCCTAGGCAACGCGAAACCTTTTTTCTTTTTCTCAAAGTGCTCCTCACACGGAAATGAAACGCAATAAATAAATCTTCCTCCTCCTTTTCAAAACGATCGGAGCCTTTTTAACCAAAAGACCGACCCCCATTAAATTTTACGACGAACCAATTTTCTCTTCACTAATCCATCTTCAATCGAAGACGTCATCTGCCTTTACAAGGGGCTGCAGAAGGTAGTCTTCATACTACTGAATCAAAAGAGAATAATTCTAGAAGGGAACCCCCACCACAAACCATTCTTATACATTCAACTTTCCACATGACTAACCTCAAAAAAGAACATCGAATAATACCAGAAACCATTTAGAATTAAGGAGAAACATGTGATCCAAATGGAAAGAGAAAAACTAAATTTTTTTAGGTCATCCATAGATGAGTATCTAGTTGACTACTCTAATCTGACCCCCCTAAACTTGTGTGAAATTAAAAAGATTCGAAATGAAGATACGGAAAAGAGTCACAAGAGAGTGTCAGGAGAATCTTGTGGTTTAATTGAATTTTATTATTCAAGAATTTCGAAATTTCGATCCTAGAAGACGTTTCAGAAAACCTGTTCTTGGTTTTTCACAGTTAAGAAATTTAGAAAATTCCTAAATTCGGAGTTAGGGTCTAAGAAAATTTAATGGAGTGAGTTTCAGCCAGGATATCTCGGTTCCGGTGGAAGTTATCAAAAAATGGTCAACTATAATTTTGTGTGAAATTTTATGAGCTACAAATTCTTAGTTAACAATTTTTTGACAGCACTTTCAGCAACAAAGATATACCAGTTTGAAGTAAGATGCCTAGCAAAATTGGAAAACGGACCCATTATCCTGGTTACTGTTGAATCATTTTAAAAAGATTCTCAAGATTTTGATTACTGTGGGGACTAAAACGTGTTTTATTTGTCTAAAATTAAATATTCAGTATCAAAAAGATTCTCAAGAAACACAACTTTTTATTATTGCTCAGAACTAGGAAAAGTTTCTCTCAAGCAGTAAAAATTCTTCTCTCAAAGCACAAGAAAAGGTCCCAATGGAGCAGGGGACCTTTTGTCTTTTATAATGGTCTCGTTTCGTTTAAAAGAACCAAAAAACCAGAAGGAATGTGTTCTTGGAAAAGAGCAAAGTGAGAAAACGAGGGGAGCTTCTTTTCGTGTCCCGGGGACCGGAACAGGTGGTGGTGGGTACTCTCTTTCTACCGCAACTGAGAGAAAGAAGAAGAGAGTGTATATAGTTGAAAGGGAAGAAGAAGAAAGAAGAAGTATTTGATGGGTTTGTTATGTGTAATATCTGTTATTTATGACGTGGCAAGAGGAAGAGCTCAAAGAAGTTCTTCTTCAAAAAATTCTTACTTCCAAATGAATGCAACACCTTCTGACTCAAAACTTCTGCAAAAAAGAATCGTATAGTCTTTGGAACATGAATCACAAAAACGCTTCGTTGAACATTTATAATGAGCCACGCAAACAGACATTTTTTTTCTCTTCTTTGCGTGCTCATTCTTCAAAGAAACACCCCTTTATTTAGAAAGATCTGTGCTTTGGGTACCAGGCACGCTTTGAAAAATTATAGGGAGGGCATGATAAGCGGCTTGCAAATTATGGTATGGCAGGTGGTGCTGGTTAATGAGCCAAAGGGACCGAAAAAGGGATTTGGGGAGGAACAAGGGGTGGTTAATGAGCTGGTCATGATTGGAAATATGTTTTGGAAGAGGATACTAAAAAATTATGAGATTTCGGATTTCATAGATATTTCATTTGGCACGGTCTAATGGGGCCATGGGGGTAAAGGTCCGTAGTTTGACGCCACGGCGCTAGTTACCGGTGTTTGCAGACTCGGCATCAAATTTTACGACAGTTTTTCAGTAACGCTAAACTTGAATATAGTGTTCATTCTACATGTGTAATTGGAGCCAGCGATAACTTCTTCTAAAATCGGAATTGAGGACTCATGAATATACCAGAAGGTAGATCTAGATGAGCTCTACACATTCAAAAACTCTGAATCATTGTTCGACTGACCTGGGATGCGCAGGCTCCACTAGACTGTCCGGTCCGGGTTCGTGGACCCGGACACTCTGCCCGTACAGCCCATGTTGGTCGAAAAATGATTCGAAGATCAGGAAAAAAGAACTAAATTTTGATCAAGTTTTACAAAAACGATGATCCACTGAGAGCAAATCCATGGTTCATTGGGAAAATTCAACAGTTATTTCTTCCCAATTCTTAGATTGACTTGAATCAACTTTCATAAGTCATGAAAATTCTAAAAATCGGTTTCAAATCTAGCTGAATCCTCTCCAAAACTCATCTCTAGTTTCCAAACCGTCACCCCCCCAAAAACCCGAAACCCGTCTATACCAACAGACAGTGGCAGCTTATATACCCCTCTGATAATATCATCGCATAGAACCTTCAATGATCTCTCACAGGTCTTT